AAACCTTAATTTCAATGACACCATTGCCACAACATTTGCATGAAACCAGTCCATCTGGTGATACTCCCAGGAATCCATACTCAGTGCTAATGAAGAAGCCAGATTCCTCATCTTAAGCCCTTGGTGTCTGTTGTCTTGGACTTGAAAGTAGGCTTCTTTTGCTTCTGCCTCATGATTGCAGCCCCACTTGGTAGCCTCACTGGTAAACTTCACAAGCTCGGGGTGACATATGCTCATTATCAGGCTATGTGATGGTTCCAGAGGATTAGTGACACATGCAGATTTGGATTTACTTGCAGTGACTCTGCCAGTTCTCATTCTAAACCATAATCTGGAGTTTGCTTGCTTCCGAGTTCGCTCTTCAACGGCTATTTGTTCTTTGGCGTTAATGTCATAAATAAACAGTTTCTGTTCGCACTCAGACATTACTGTATCACATTCTGCAGTAGTTAATTCTTTGTAAAAATATGTGGAAAGAACAGGTGGCAGGTCTTCCTTTATCGAAGATGGAACATAAGCGTCAGAAAATTCTTTCATAAGTGCTACGACTGCTGGCTTTGAGTCACAGAATGCTTTTACATTTGATAAAGAATCTAGTATTTTATCGTGAGATGAGATGGGAACTTTCGATTCAGTTCGTACTTTCTTATTCACTCCTCCATATTGCTAAACACAATGTCACTTATCTTAGAGTAATGAACCTTCTTAACTGCAGATGGAAGCACCCAATATGCCTTTTTATCAGTTACAGTCAGTAAGTCTCGTTTTTTTTCTCCATAGCCGGGTAAATATCCTTTTTCGACATATTTCGGTATCTATCAAACTTTACAAGAAAGCTACGAAAACAATCGCGAAGTGGTCCTCCAGGTGCCTGGTAACTAACGGTATGCAAATAAAGTGTGACGTCAATGCAAGGGGTCTTACGTTTCTTAAGAAGACATAGGCTAAGCTTTGCGCCATATGTTCTTTTATTTATTATAGCATCTATACGTGTACACTGCATAATAATGTTGCTACTAATGTTTGCCAAGTTTTTCTGGTACTCGGTCTGTTTCAAGTGGTAGTAAATGCAACTGCAAACATATACCTTCATTTTAATTTTTATCACTTTTTTCATTAGGTTTCATTTCATACACCAAATCCGTCGTTTAATCTCCTTCTTTATGTCTCTCTTAAAGAGGGAATACGCTAACGGGTTGGCGGCAGAGTTTAACACCAGAATAGGGATTTTGTAGTGAACATCATTACATGTTTTTTA